TAAGTAAATGGTGTAATAGTTAACTACTTCTGTGTACAAAATTACCTCAAACTTTTGATTTAAAAGTCATTTTTATTATTTCACATATTTATTATTTCACATATTTATTATTTCACAGTTTCCATGGGTCAAAAGTTTGGACACAGCTTAGCTAGGTTCGCTGCCTCAGTGTCTCATAAGGTTGCAATCAAGATGATAATGGGCAGCATTTTCATCTGCAGATTTGTCTGGAGAAGAATTCGCTCCTGTACTCATTTAAGTTGTTAGCAGAATTCATTTCTTTGTGGCTATAGAAGTGCGAGTTTCTTTGCTGGCTGTCTGCTGTCTGCTCAACTCCTAGAGGCTGTCTGCAGTTTCTTGCCATGTGGTCCTCTTTGCAGGCAGTTTACAAGATGGTAGTTTGCTTCTTCAAGGTCATCAGGAGAGCAAGAGTAAATCTGATAGCAAGTCTTATGTAACATAATGTAATCACCTTAGTGATAGCTCATCATCTGTGTCATATGCTGTTGGTTATAAGCAAGTCTTAGGTCCCACCCACACTGAAAAAGAGATTATAGAAAAGAATGAACCCTAGGAGGTGGATTCCTGGGAGTCATAATGGTTAAATATACCATATCTACGGATTGGAAGACTCAATATCATTAATAGAGGCAATTTTCCTAAAATTAATCTATACATTGAAACCATCACAATCAAAATCTCAGCAGATTTTTTTTTTCTGTAAATAGATTCCTATATTTCAAAATTCTAAAGTTATAGGGAAATGCAATGATCCTTGAAGAGCCAAGGCAATCTTGAAGAAAACAAAGGGGACTTTCACTATCAGATTACAAGATTTACTAAAAGCTATACTAATTTAAATACAATGACAATGGCAAAAAGAGAGACAAATATTCCAATGGAACAGAATAGATTCGTTCAGAAACAGACTCACACATATAGTAGTACTTGATACATAATAAAGGCACTACCGCAATTCAGTGGAGAAAGGATGATATTCTCAAAAACAGTACTAAAGCAATTGTGTATCCATATTAAAAAAAAAAACAATCCTGACTCCCTCCCTCACATCATACTAAAAAAATTAATTCATGGTGGATCATAGGTCTAGATCTTATCAAAGAAAATATAGAATAACATCTTGATGACTTTAGAGGTAGCAAAGATATAATAAACAGATACCAAAAAATTCCAAAGAACTAAACATAATAGAAAAAATATTTTTTACTTTAATTATGAACTTAATGTTTCTTGAAAAATGTCATTAAGAATGTGAATAGGCAAATCAAAGACTAAGAGAAGATAATCACAATCCATATATCTGTCAAAGAACTCATATACAGATTATATAAAGAATTTCTACAATCAAAAAAAAAAGATAGGTACCTGTTTATTAAAAATGGAGAAGAGCTTGAATATGCACCTCACAATGGTGGGTATTTAAATGAATAATAGGCATATTCAAAGGCCCTCAACCTCATTAGTCATTAGAGGAATGCAAATTAAAATCACAATATGATACTACTAATATCCACCAGAATATCTAAAATTAAAAGAGTGAAAATGCCAAATATTGCTGAGGATGTAGAGTAATTGGAACTGTCATGCAAAGCAGGGGAAAGTGTAACTTTGTTCAAACACTTTGGAAAACTATTTGGCACTCTAATAATATTCACATATGCCTATACTATGGCTCTAAAATTCCACTCCTAGGTATAAATTCAAAAGAATCATGTGTCCTAAAAAAGGAATATGCAAGAATGGCCATAGCAACTTTTTCATAATAGCCCAAAATTGGAAAAAAGAACTGCAATGTCAACTGGAGAAAGAATAAACATATTGTGCTATATGCATGCAATGGAATACTACACAACAATCAAGAAAATAAACTGATATACACAACACATATGAATCCCCAAAACATTTTGTTAATTAAAAGAAGCCAGACACAAAGAGTATATATTATATACTTACAATTACATAATGTTCAAGAACCATAAAAATAATCTGTGGTATTTGACCTTAGTGGTTACCAGAATAGTGGTTGAGGATTTTTTTCCCTAGAAAAGAGCACAAGGGAAATCTCCGGAGTGAGCCAAGTATCTATATTTTGATCTTTGTGAGGATTACACAGTTGCATACATGTGTAAAAATTCATCAAGTTGTATACTTATGATTTTTGCACTTTTATATGAGTTATATCTCAAAAAATAGAAAAAGCAAAAAATAAAATGCATTCTATACTCTAATTTCTTACTCTATTTTTAATAATGTAAAAATAATTGTGATTAACTTAAGAAAATATATAGAACTCTGCTCAGCAGACACATATACAAAGAAAGGTTTAATCTTATCCTAATAGTGTAGTTAATGATGTACATTTATAAGTTTCAAGTAAAGCAATACTTTGTGGTATTAAAAAACAAACAATTTTTCTATCCCTAGGTTATGAATATATTTTCTTATAACAACTTCTATTAATATTTTAGTTTTAACTTTACTTTCAGGTCTTTTATCCATATGGAGGCTACATTTGTTCACCATTTTAGGTTAGGATCTAGTTTTTTTTCTTTTTATAGTGATTACCTTCTTTGTTCTTTGAAATAATTTTCTTTTTATTATACATTAATTTCCATTTATACATGGATCCGAGTTTTCAATTATTTTCTCTTGCTATTCTGTGGCTTTGCGATATGCCTTAGTACCAAGCAGAGTATATTCCCTTCTCACAGTTATCTCCTACTTCAAGTTAACTATACATAGATCTTTATATTTCAATAAACATTTAGAATAAATCGAGTTCATTATAAAACTTCAAGCCAGAATTTTGACTGGGATTGCATGGGATTATGTTTATTATGTCAACTCATAGTTTTCATTTGGTTCTTTTTATGACTTCTTTCTGCTTCATATTAATACTATCCCCCTTCCTTATCCTTGGAGGTATTATTACATTTATTTTAAATTTGTTGCTCATCTGATCGAATAATTCTCTTTGCAATGTTTTTCACTCTTGATTTTTTTAAGTTATGTTCTTTTCTTATATGATTTTTGGCCTGTAACTTTAAGTTTCCCTAGGAATATCGCCTACTTTGTTCTGTAATGTGCTTAGGGTAAGGATCAAAGCACAAACTCTAGCTCTCATTCTACTAAATAGTTTAGGGAGAGTTAAGAGCTGAACCCACAGAACTCCATTGATCATCACCTCTTTACTGCCACTCCACCCATCAACTTCTGGGCCAAGAAGCCATCTATAAACTCATGCAAAGAAACAACAATCCACCAGTTCTAGGATTTGGTAGGGGTGTTGGGGGAGATGGGGAAAGGTGGAAGTCAAGGTCCTGGGCTTATTGCCACATTTGGTTTCCTCAGCTCTGCAGAGTTTTTATGAAGTTCTGGTATTTCCCTGTCAATATGGGGTGTCCTATGGCAATAGAACCTGTGACAATCTTCCAGTTCAATGAGACAAGCAAGAGCAAAATGTAAAATCCTCTTGATTGACATGTGGTTTACATGTGTATACATTTGTCACACTCAATTGTACTCTTGAGATCTCTGCAGTCCATTGTATGAACAAAAGATCTAGAAAAGAACATCTATTATCATCATGTTTATTTTACTTTATTGAACACTGATCTGAAAAGGCTAGCTATTAAAATAAATTATAAAACTAAATATTAGAAAGATATAATATTATATTTGCTAGCTCTTGTTATATGTCCTCTGGAATCCCCAAAACCTCATTGAAAAAAAATATTAGAACTACTGAGAGTTTAGTAAGATTGCCAGTTAATCAATAAACCCACACTAACTGTAACCAGGGTCACAATTCAAATACTTACAGCATTTTCACCTAATGAAAATGGATGAAAGAAAATAAACGGTTAAGATAATAATATAAATGTTTTATTTTATTAAATTTTGAGTTATAAAAGTGATATAAACATCTGATACTGAAGATAATATTTTAAATTTGAAGTAGAAAAAAATACAAATTGATAAAACAGAATAATTTATTTTATAATTTTATTCTCACTTAGTGTTCATGATTTAAATTGAAATAAAATGACATGTTTTGTATTAAGATCACAATATCAAGTGTTATATTTCCATTGTAATGTGCAGAACAGAATTCAACTTTGAATCCCTGAACTGGGAGCAATATTTAGTTTTATGTCATCTCGTATTTCATGAAAGAAAACAGCTGCTCACAAATTTAGGAAATTCCTAACCTAACATAATATTTGTATAATGATTTTTCAATCTAATGTAATCACATCCTGGATACTTATAGAATTATGAAATTCTGGTATAATAATGTAAGCATGTACTTTAGTATTGTACTGAGTTCCGTATAAAAAATATTATCTTATTAATTATAAAAAATTGCCAATAAAAGAGCACTGAAATACTATTTTTTAACTAAAAGTTTGGGAAAATAGTCCCATTTCTAATAGAAGTAGAAATGTACATATAAACTGAAACTGGTAAAAGCCTTTTGGAGAGCAGTTCCAAATATATATATATGGGTTGTGTATATGTAAGTGTGGGTTAGGTATGTGCATATGTGCATACAGATACACTATTAATATTTTTATTCACTTGTATCCAGCAATTCCTCCTATGGGATTATATCATGTGTCCAAATCATGATAATTTCATTGTAGAAAAAAATAAACGCCGCAAAAATAAACCACCCAGAATTTACTTGACACAACAGAAGGGAACTTATTTTGCAGAGTCAGAACCTAAGAGAAATATGTGCGGTCATGTGTGAGACAGACCGGCAATGGGGAGACCTCTAGAACACAGGAAGCTCTCATTCCATCCTTTGCTTTACCTGAGGGCCCCGAGGAGCAAACTCTTTAAGAAGGGGATGAGGGAAGAGTCTCTAGGAAAAGTGATATAGTGGAAATGAGAAGCTTTTGTAGTAGGCTAAAGAAATAATCATGAATTATGAAAAGATATATCTAAATTTTTTTATAAAAATGATATATGTTGTGCTTGCTTTGGTAGCACATACACTAAAATTGGAACGATACAGAGAAAATTAGCACAGCCTCTGCAAAAGGATGACATGAAAAATTGTGAAGCATTCCATATTGTGAACGCACAATACAACATATTGTTGAATTTTAACTTGAAACTTATTGGATTTTGTTAATAAATGTCACCCCAATAATTTTTAATAATAATAATAAATAAATAATGAAAAATAATATGTCAATTCAATGTTTAAATTATAATAATCTCACATAATGACAAAACATGCAGCCATTTAAAATAAATAAATAATGAAAAAATAATATGTCATTCAATGTTTAAATTATAATAATCTCACATAATGACAAAACATGCAGCCATTTAAATTGTTAGAGAAGAATATTTAATAAAATGAAGAATCATTTATTACATAATCTCTATTATTATGAGGAAAATATAATTTTTAGAGAGTAAATGTGCTATGAATTAAATTCACATTTAAATTATAAATATATCCTGCAAATGACCTGGTTTCACCAGCATGTGACTAAAAATTAAGGTGACATTTTCTTTTCATGCCTGATAACAATGCAGCAGTGACTCCAATCCTTATGACTACTTTGGCTACACAAAGTTGTCATTTCAGCCCTGTCTAAGGGTCTTTTCTTGGTGTTTCTGGGGACTCCTAGTGGTTGGCACTTGCACCTCAGCCAGTTATCTGGTTCCATATACTGTTTTGTTGTTCCCTGGGAAAAGGGTTTGCTCTCCTCCAAGGGCCACCTCAGTTTCAGGATTAGTTGCCTCATACTTCCTGTTCCCTGCTCACAGATGTAGCTCTACTGTGAGCACAGACTCTACTCCATTGCCTAAACACATAAAAAGGATCAGACTGTAATTTTCTATGAGACATTAATTAAATTTCAAGCATAAATAAAGGTAGCATCACAAAGATTAATGAAAACCTAGATAGAGACATGCAAAGAGCACACCTACCAAGGCTTGGCCAAGGTCCCTCAAAGATCATCTTCCCTGTATGCCCTTATGTAGAGCTTTGGGGGTCTCCTTGCCTCAGATCCTGATCCAAACCTCCAGGAAGCTTCTAGAGAGAGATTGTGCCCCTTTCCCTTATCCCATTCTATGACTCAACATTTAAAACTTTTTAAAGTTTTATTTTGTTTTTATTGAGATAGAATTCACATACTTTAAAACTCACCATCTTAAAAAAAAAAAAAAACAGCTCACCATCTTGAAGTACACAATTCAGTATTTTTTAGTATATTTAGAGTTGTGGAACCATCACTACCACCTAACTCCAGAACACTTTCTCTATGATTCATTTTTCAACACTCAGTTTATATTACTGGTATTTTGGTTTGAGAGAGCCCAACACAGTGTGCTTCTTTTTGTCACACAAGTTCTGAATAATTTAAAAAATCAGACAAAAGCATCAGCCAATAGAAGCTAAAAGATTATCTTTTCTTACCTATAAAGCAGACCTTGAAGAATGTGGCTTATATCTGCAGCCAAGTAGGTTTCCAATAGTGAGTTCAGACCTGGAACTGCCCCTTCAGCTGTACTGGACCCAGTCAGGTGTCATTCCTCTGAGAGAAGAGAGGTGGTGGGCATGAGCAGGGCCAATGGCACACTGACCATGAGAGGAGAAGGCAACATCAGGAGAGAAGCATGTCCCACCTCAGAAGCTCTCCCCTACACCTGGGTTCACCTCTTCCCAGGATGACTGATGGAGAGAAATCCCATTTCTTTCAGGGGGGTTATATATTTCTAGAAATTTATTAATTTCTTCTAGATTGACAAATTTATTGGCATGTAATTGGTCATAGTATTCTTTAATGATTCTCTGTATTTCTGTAGTGTCATTTATAATGTCTCTTCTGTATATGACTTTATTTATTTATTTGAGCTCTCTCTATTTTTTTCTTGATGAGTATGGCAAAAGTCTTGTCAGTTTTATTTATCTTTTCAAACAACCAGCTCTTGGTTTCATTGATCTTTTCTATTATTTTTTTTTTATTTCTAGTTCATTTATTTCTTCTTTGCTTGTAATTATTTCTCCTGTTTACTTTGCTTTTTGCTTTTTCTTTTTCTAGTTCCTTTAGGCAAAAAGTAGATTGCTTATTTAGGATTTTCGTTTGTTCGTTTCTTGCAATATATAGGTATAAAATTCCCTCTTAGAACTGCTAGTGCTGCACTGCATAAATTTTGAAAACGTGTTTTCTTTTGTCTCAGTGTAGTTTCTGATTTCTTTTTTGATGTCCTCCTTGATCTATTGGTTGTTTAGTAGCACGTTATTTAGTTTCCAGTATTTTGTGTTTTCTACAGTTTTCTTCTCCAAGTTGATTTCTAGTTTCATGTCATTGAGGTCAGAAAAGATGTTTGATATGACTTCAATCTTCTTGAATTTTTGAGGCTTATTCTATGATCTAATATGAGATCTACCTGGAGAATGTTTCATATGAGTTTGAAAAAAAAGTTTATCTACAATTTTTGGATAAAATGTCTATTAATAAATGTCTATTAAAGCCATTATATCCTTATTAATTTTCTGTCTGGATGATCTATCCATTGATGTGAGTGGGATATTAAAATCATCTACTATTACTGTAGTACTATGAATTTCTCCCTTTATGTTCATTTATATTTGCTTTGCATATTTATGTGCTACTATGTTGGGTGCATAGATATTTACAGTCATTATATCCTCTGCTTGGATTGACCCCTTTATAATTATGTAATGTCCTTTTTTTGTCTTTTTTATATTCCTTTTAAAAGGTTATTTTATCTAATACTGAGTATTGCTAACTCAGCTTTCTTTTTGTTTCTATCTGCATGTGACATCTTTTCCATCTCGTCACTTTCCGTTTGTATGTGTCTTTCAATTTAAAATGAGTTTCTTGTAAGAAGCATGTAGATAGGTCATGTTTTTTTTAATCCATTCATACACCTTATATCTTTTTTTTGCGGTGGGGGGTAGTGTTTAATCCATTTACAGAAATTCTCAGGAGGGGATGCAAGAGCTTGCACTTTAACAGGTACCCCAGATAATTTTTACATACATTAAATTTGAGGACATCTGTACTAGGTTATTAGCTTCTGAGGACAGAAACTGTGTTATTGATAAACAAATCTTCACCACTGTCACAGAACACACAGGAGTTGCTACACAGAAGGCTGGATTCCAGAGTAGGAGTAGGGAGGGGACAATCATAGTAACACAATGCTCGCAAATTGTGTATGTGCGTTCATATGTGGATGTGCAAATGTGTGGTGTGTGTGCAAGTGTGTGCATTGCATGTGTGTGTATGTGCATGTGTGCATCCTTTCAACATCGCTTGAATCCTCTTCAGCCTTGGTTTGCTCTGCCAGTGCTCACCAGAAGCAATGGTGACACTTCAGGCCCAGAGTAACAGCCTGTTGCTCACATGAGAGACACACAGAGACTTAAACCCACATAAGCCAGTGTACCCATTTCAGGTTTCCTGATTCTCTTTGGGGCAATCATTAATGGAGTGAAAAGCTGAGACTGCTTTCTAAACCATTCTCTCTCTTCCTGAGATAATACAGTTGCATTCACATAGCTAAAAACATACATTACATTTCTCCACTGTAAACACAAATAAATGTTTATTGAATGAATGAAAGAACAACACAGGTGATAGTTCATGGTCTGCAATGAAGGTTGTATAATAAATAAAAATAGCTGTCATGTAGATTGAACTTTTCATCTTCCAGGCCCTGTTCCAAATACTTTACATATGATACTCACTTAAACCTCTGTTTTTAAAAATTTTCTCATTCAACAGAATCTCACAAAGATATAAAGAGACTCTCCCAAGGTCACAGAGGAGAGGCAGCGCCAGGGACTAAAGCCAGGCAGTCAGTTCCAGAATCTGAGTATTCAGCCACCTATTCAGCGTCCATAAAGTTTTTTAAAACACCTTCTCTTTGCCTCCTTGAACATGTATTTTAAAAGATTCAAGGGGGCTTTTCTGAAAATTTCCTTCAGCCCAGACTTCTTTCATGAGCATACATTGCGTGTCCTTGAATCAAGTCAAATCAGAAGACCAGATACAAACATTTCTGAAGACAAAGCTCCCTTATATGTTAAGACATGTTTTCTCAAGCATGTCTGTGCCTGTGAAGAATCAGTAGTTGGATTGATTGAGATAACCTTTTTATTTGAAGACCACACAAAATAAAACCCATAACTCATATTTAGTTTGCTTCTTCCTGTAATTAACATTAGGTTGAACTCAGGTGGGATTTTGATATTACAAGTCATGGTAAATTGTATAGCTAAATAAACATCCAAATGACAAGCTTTACTTTGTAGTCAGGGTTGGGTGTAAATATGAGAAGGTCTAGCAAAATTGCTATTATATTGACCTGCCTGTATTTCAAAATTGTAAACATCCTACTTAAATAAAGTAGTATAACCAACGTAACATTAAATTATATCATGTAATCATTCTGCAACATGCATAAAATTTGGGGGCATTCCACTGATAATGATGAATAGTTTTCATAATTTGCATCTTTAATAAAACTAGAGTCTATTTTGTGTATTAAAATGATTAATGATTTGCAATAGTCAAAACTGTATTTGGCAGCAAGTTATATTGAAGACAAGATAGGTAGGAAATATTTTCTTGATTAGATAATGGTTGGTTGAAATTCCTTCCAGCTTTTATGAAACAAAAGTTAGTGATTGAAAGCGTATCAGATGATGCATCAATTTTCCACAAACAGAAGACTATGCAACCTATTTTATTGAAAAACCTTTATACAGTGCTAGATTTAATCTCTCAACTTGAGAAGCAGTGCCAAGAAATAAGATGTTTGCATACAAAATCTCCAGATTTCAAATGGAAATATAAAACAAAGAAGTGCTTCATTCCTTTGGGGATGGCACCTATCTTGGATTCATTTTTTCTCTGATATTCATGCATGGTTTTATCAGTGGCTTTAGGGAAGTGAAACAGTAGTTTGCTTCCTTAAGAACAAAGGCTGGAAGAATTTTTTAAAAGATAACATATTAAAAGTACTTTCTCTACTGTTCTTTTTATTTATTATGCATTTCCTGAGAAGTAATCATTGTTTCAAATA